TAAACTATACGTTACTTAGATATCCCTAAACTATAAAAAATAAATCCCACAGTTTCACTCTCCTGATACAACAGGCAGTTATCAATGTTTTACATGAAATCTTAAACAGATATATTTTGTTGTGATTTCACTGCATGTATTAGCCAATATAACAAACATTTTAATTGTGTGTTTAGATTGGTACTGATCCTGAGACAGCATGAGCACAACAAAGTTCAATCAATACTTACCTCTGCTCTTTTGAGTGAGCACCATCTTCCAGACAGTGTCCAGCAGCATGTTGAGCTGCTTGGAGCTCAGTTTAACACCACTGCTCAGAGTATCCTGAACAAATATCCTTAAAGGTGTCAGCCATCCGGAGTCAGACTCTGTGGTGGGCTCTTGTTTTTGACTGAGGGAGACCATAACCTGACACAGGGTAATGTTCAATGCCAGAGGATCCACTGTCGTCACGGGCAACACAGCTGCTTGCTTATTCCTAAAAAAAAAAAAAAATTAAAAATTAAAATTGTCAAATATATTTAAAAGCCTCTATGTGTATTTATTTCTTCTACTTCAGAAAATCTCTTGCAGTATATTATAAAAGCAGCAATTTGTCAATAAGTTATATTGCCTATTGACTTTAAAGGGCAATTTGTTGTTTGAGTGAGAGAAAGAACAGTTCATTCTTCACTCACAGTTTACAGTTTGATATTGACAGGTTGTTTAAGCATGGACTTCCATTTTGAATTTCATGATTTACATACCGTTTAATACTGTCATTCTTCTTTTTATGCTTGGGAGTGTCAAGGTTGCCATAGGGGAAGTTTTTGAGAAAATGTTGCTTAAAGTCACCCAAATATTCCTTTCTGAACCAGGCGTCCTAAAGAAAAAAGATAAGTTAATATAAGTTTAAATGAACATTATGTAGCTTTATAAGGGTCATTCAGTACATTATAACTGAACACTGAAAATTTAAACCCAAGTATATATTCAAGTTGTGACTAAAGTGGGACTAGACCTGGACTAGATTAGGACTAACACAGGACCAAATCAAGTTTACGTCAGATGGGCTCAAAACTAGGCCAAAAAAGTACACATGTGCACCCAGTAGTACAAGTCTTACCAATGCTTCTTGATGCTCTTGGTGTGGGGCTAACTTCCGCAGAAGTTGCAGAATGGATAAAACCTGGAACATTACTGACATGGCATCAGGCGTGAGCAGGTGAGCGGCATCACTGCTATTCCACGAATTATTATTATTGACACTGGCCTCGACCCAAACCTCAAGAAGAAGGGGGACCAGTGTAGATGCAAAGTTCTGCACAGCCTCTTTTGAGTCCAAACTTTCACCTATTTCAGATGTAGAATCACTTTGTGGCCTGTGGAAGAAGAGTTTTTAATATGTGTGTACATTCACACAGTAACATTCAGTTCAGTAACATTCAGGTGAGCCTGTCTAATTTTGAAGTGTGAAAGAAAATACTGGTTCCTGTAAATATTTTCTATTAAACATTAGGGAACATATTTCTTTTTTTTTTTTGTACTGTAACAGTTGGTCTGTAGAAAGTTAAATAAGCTTTCTCACTCATTACTCATCACAGACACAAGTAATACTAAAGTATTACGTTCATAAATTGAGTTGCAATAAATTGACAGCACACTTTTTACAGTGAAAGGGTTAACTAAAATTATCCTGCTTTAAAGTCCATGACATAAAGCTGTTATATTTATATTTTTCTAACTGAATCTTGGCATTCAATCACCATTCAAAATGCAAGCTTTGACAGAACGGTTCAGGTAAATTTATATCAAACTTCAAAAAGTGTTATTGCGGCAAGTCTAAAAAAAATATCACTTTTAATAATGTCATACCTGAGTTTAAATGTTGAAAACCAAGTTGGCTTGGCTCCAGAATGTTCAAACAGATTCACAGCAACTTTACTGTAAATGAGCTCCTCCCATGTTAGATTCAGAGATGTGATATGGCCCTTCTTACTGCTATCAACTGCTCCTTCACTTTGGGACATATCAGTCTTTTCCACTGGTCTTTCATCAACAACTGCCTGCAGGAATTGACCAAGCCTAAAGAAAATGAAATTATGTCAATTAACATTTTAATATACAAAAAATGTTGTAGAGGTGAGCGATATATGCAGTATCTATAAGATAAAATTAAATAGTTGTAATGAAGAGATGTCAAAATTGAGTATTCAAAAGTGAATCATGTAACTTTTTAGTAGGAGATCCGCCACCTGGTTGCCTCAATAGAGATGTCATTGGTTTGCCAGGAATGTTTCATATTGCAGCATTAATCTTATCTATCTCCAGGGGATACGTCTATCAAGCAGGTGACACTACTAGACCAAATTACACATCACATCTGTGGAGAAGCAACTCACTGTAAGAATGGATATTTTTCAAGGTATTGTTTTTACCAATAATAACAGCAATAATTAAATAAATGCCATACTGTGGAACATTCCAGGCAAAGCAATAATAAGCAATAAGACAAAAGTGGTAAATACTCCTCGAGAAAACTCTTATAGTTTTGATGCACAAAACAATTATCAAAAAGTAGCCAGAAACAAAATAATACTGTCAATAAAATATAAAGAGATATTTCTACACATTTGTTGTTTACATATATATTACATATTTATTACCTCAGAAGAACATTTAGTCGCCACTGTTGGCTTGTCACAGTCCGACCAGGATTCACTGAGAGCGCCCACGTACGTGTTTTTGAGTCCTGGGCCTTTTTCGCTCCGCCACTGTTTTGTCTGTGAGAAATTAACTCCAAAAAGTTGGTGAGGAGCACCGCAGGTCTTGAGGCGAGCAGGGCAGGGTAATGTTCAAGAAGCACATCCAGGACTTTCATAGCGTCTTCCTGAATGCTGACTTCAATATGCGTCATAGCACAAGACAGGTGAGCACTGAGGAGGGGGAAAAATGGGGCCACCCGATCTGCAGGCACTGACTGAGCAATGTACCTGCAAAGAAATTCATGCAATTTCTATGACAACAATAAGAGCTGAATGGTTTGAGAAAATATCTAATTGCAATGATTAGCGTTGTAATTTATAATTAAAAAAATGTTAACTTTGTCTTCTTATCTACATTAATTTCTTGAGTTCTTTTTAAAGACATTACAGTAGGAGATACATTTAAGGGAAGTAACAACAGTTGATATATGGCACGTCACAACCAACACCGGTAACAGTTTTGACGATGGCTCACAGCTAGTAGCCGAAACATGTCAACAAGGTGAATACACTTCCTACTGTATTGTCTTTAAAAAAGAACCCAAGAAGTTAAAGTTATAATTTATGTTTTAAGAATTTAAGGACAAACTGTCAAAAAAATATATATATGAATTGATAAATAACAATTGAGAACACATTTGTACAGTTCTAAACTACAGGGTTAGCATTTTTAATGCAAAATAAGAGACAATATTTTGTTGTTTGTAGATGAAATTTTGTGATTTGCCAAGTGCATTCAGTCAAATAGCTTTTTTTGATTTGATTGCGATTAATCTTAAAAACAATTATACAATAAAATAAGAATAATGTCAATGTCAATGGATTTTTACCTGAGCACACGTGTAGCTGCCATACGAACATTTGCATCTTTATCTGTGAAAACTGCAGCGACTTCGGAGAGCAATCGAGAGAGATGTGAATCCAGCAATTGTGGATTTAATGAAAGTAGCTCCCTCAGACCAAGCAAGGCACTGTGTTTTACGTTTGCGTTGTAATGGTGTAGCTGGGACAGAAGATCCTAAAGAAAAGAGGCAATAATTTAATATCCTTCAATAGGTTGGGTACTCATTCTAATATTTGCTGTCAGATAAAAAGGACTTTAAGTCAGTGTCCTCCATTTGAATTATGGAATCATCCGTTTTACTCCAGAGTGCTGTCATATTTTTGCCAGAGTAAAAGAAAACAACATAAAATTTCAGCTCCATGTTGTAAAGACCTATAGTCTTTACAAAATGTTACAACATGACTTGAAGTAAACGTATTGATATTAGCAAAGACAATTGCATAACTTACATTTATTCCTAGATGCCTGTGAGTAGTAGGTCCACTTGCATCTCTTTTCAGTTGATCAGGAAGATGGATTCCCTTTGAGCGGAAACTGGTATTTGTGGCATTGTCAGCTTTGGGCTTTTTCTTTCCAACCTTCAATTTCACCTTCTGGAAATCATCCTGCCTCTTTTTCTTCTTGGCTTTCATCCTCTAATGTTATGTGCTCTGTCAATAATTTAAAGATTGAATAAACATACAAAAACTACATTGTTACACTGCTGATCACGCTTTTTTGATCACTGTTTCGTTTTCAAATGGTTAAAAAAAGGACAATACAATGGGAAATATTTTGGGCAGAGAGCATGGCCTGAAACATTCACCATTCTCCACAAATGCACAGTGACAGTGACCGGGTGACAGCTACATTTATTTTGGAAAAGCTTTCACTATGTTTGTGCCAATGGTGATCACTGCTGATTCAAAGCAGAGGTACAGTAAGATAAGATAAGTAAGGTAAGATAGAGGCGCCAGGGTTGAAGTGCGACTGGGTATGTTATGAGCGTTAGCCACATGCTAACATTAACAGAATAACACACCAAACATGCTGGTTTAACTTACTAACACGGGAGGAATATGGAGATTATCCAAGCAGTATTAAACGCTGATGCGAAAATATATAAATGTATCCAGGCAGTATAATAGTAAAACAAAAGGCAGCTCGTGTAATACACCGAAACGGGGTAATATCGGGGTCCTGTGGTGATCATGCACAGAGCACATGCACCAAGCCGTCTACGAGCACAGCACAGGGAAACGCATATATGAAAGTAGAAAGGGAAATAAGGAAAGTCGAGACTTTGAAGAAAAACTTACCATTAGTAGGGAACAAACATGACATAGCACCAGGAAGAACAAAGAAGAAAACGCATAAACATTATAATGTTATCTTTTTTCTATTCAGGCAAAGCTATGGGCACCTATAAGAGTTGGTGGGGTCCTTCCGTGTGTTGTCTCTGCGCATAGACCGAAAATCGACGCTGAGTTTCCTTTGAGGACTCACACCAAATATTGTTCTTGTTCATTGCACTTGCGTTTTTGTTTCATTTTTAAGAGCCTGTATGCATAGGTAACAGGTATGGTGTTTAAGTATTTTGGTTGCGTCTGTCTCCTGATTCGCCTTGTTTGTGTCCTTGCTTCAAAAAGTAAAGGAATTTAGCTTAGCTTCACTGCTGCGTTAGCTAACTCAATTCACACCGGGGGCTCATTTAGGTATTTTTGTGGAAAATCTTACGGTTAATTTGGAATAGAAAGAATGCAGACGATAGGCAAACGAGCACAATAATCTCGGAAGTTACTCGCACACTCAAAGGAAGCGCGCTTTGAGCAGAGATGCACCAGGACTGAATCAGCTCAAAACGAGCATTTCGCTAAACGACAATTGTAAAAAGTATTCTTCAGCATTGAATTGGCTATTTATCACTAATACTTGTGTATTCTGCTTCGTGTGCGTTATCTACAGGGATGGACCCAATGAATACACAGGTTTATGCACCCCAGGCCGCCAAAAGGAAGTTTCCATTTGGGCAGCCACAAAACCAGGGGAAGAGGGGCAAGGGCCCAAATGTAAGTATAACCATTCAGAGAGCAACACAGGTATAGATAAATGGAAAAAAAAGTGTTCTTCCGACTTCAAAAGTTTCAGTCTAGTTGTTCAGTTGTCTTAACTGAAACTATAGTAAGTTAACTGTTAACATAAGGTCTGTCAATGTCCACTATGCAGCCTGACTGCTGCTGGGATCCATGACCTGCGATGGTGCACAGACAGGAGTCTGTTACATGCATCCTGCTCTGCTGAGCAGCCGCAGCCTCTTGGAGTAGATGTTTTTTTAAGTGGACAAAAATAATGCATTTGATTTCTATAGCACTTTTTGACTGTGCAAAGGCACTTTACAGTGCATTATTCATTCTCTCCACACTCTGTGGTGATAAAATAATATTGTGCCCCCAGTCAGTTACCTTGGAGTAGACTGAAAGAAGCAGGGTACTAATGTGCGCTATCAGACCCTCCAGGCACTCCCAACATTCACAGACCACCTTCGTATTATGCAAGTTGGGAGAAGTCTTGAAAGGGCACAAGTTTCCACTACACTTGAGTCAATGGCACTGCACTGTGGCTCCTGATATTCCCAGCAGTCTCCCATCCAGGCCCACTCTTGCTTAGCTTGTAAGATCTGACAAGATCATCATTGCCAAGCAGGCCACAAATGGATGGGCACAAACTTCTGCCTCATGAACCTCTATAGCAAGCTCCAACTGAATCCATTCTTTCTTTCTGGTTTCTCACTGGTGAATGGGTTCCCCAGTATATCAGTGAGAAAGGAGAACAAACTGGACAAGTTGGTTAGCTGCATACTGCATCCTTGTACGTTTGCATTCACTTGTTTGGTGCAAAATGCACTGCCACCATAGGGACACTCGTCCGACACAGCATGTTGGGAGATTTGCAAGGATTTTGTATTGTTGCAAATTTTGCCCTCCCATGCACCCGCTGCTTAGTTTGTCACATAATTAAACACACACACACACATACACAGGAAAACACACATACACACAGGAACACACACAGGAAGACACCCGAGCAGAACATATGCCTAATTTAGGCCTGCTCATGACTGGGCTATATTCAAGTCAGTAAGATTTAATCATGACCTGAATACACACATGTGCTGCCCCTGAAAGTAATTGCTATTTTATGGTACATTATTTTCAGTTCTTTTTTTACATTTACAAGGACCATAAACATACTGAAGTGCATCTGCTCACTGCATGGATTAAAGATTTCATGTTGACAGTTGAGGCACCCGTACTTTTTGGATGCCTGTGATGACCACAGACTACCCAGGCTAAATATGTTTATTTTCTTATTTTATGCAGTGAATTGTTGTCTTTGTAATTATGTATGCATCCTAAAGGTACTGCACTACAAACTCCAAAGAAAGGATCACTTGGCATTTAATCTGAGTGCCATGCTGTCACTAATGCCTGTGTCTCTTCTTTATTTGGGTATATCCTACCCTCACAGAGACAGCCGCTGCAGCATTCTGATGAGATCGGTAAGTTTGTTCACTAAATGCCACTGCCAACTCAAGAGGTAAAGGAGATTCATCTTTCTTGCCTCTGGCAGTGGCAATTCTGTTTTGAGACCTTGGTCTTAAAATAGTTTTGCTTTCATCAATAATTGTAATGGTGTTCTTGTCTTAAATTATTAACAAGTATTCTTAAGGTTTTCACATTTATGGTGGCTGGTGCAAATGCTGTGGCATATAATAATCCAATTAAAACTGCTTTTTGCAGTTTTTTCCCCTGACAAAAATAAACAGGCTTTTGGTCTGTTGTGAAACACATCAATAGTAAACCAAGTCGGGCTCCCTGTTTGATATAGGTGGCCAAAGAGCTTTCCTGCTTGGAGTCCACTACATTCTTTGTGAATCTGCATAAAATGGCATTTTACCAGTGCAGTTCATTTGGTGTTAAATGCCAAAACCATGTGGATCTAATTAAGTTTAAAATCTAGATGTGAAATCATGTTTGATTTGATTCTAATTGTATTTGTATTTTAATTTAAAGTTTATACAAAAGGAAACACCATCCATGCCATGCCATCTCTTGCCCAACGGTTGAAAGAACTCACTGGTGTCTCTGTAATTGGTGAGTGAGTAGACTTCTTTCTTTATAAACCATACCCTGACTATACGTTGTGTAAATTGCTTGTATGGATCATGTGATCTTGTCTTAAATACTTGCAGGTCTTCAGTATGTGTGGGAGTATCGCAGCCCCAGCAAGTCCCTTCCACCACACTACCACTGCAAATTGTGTAATGTAATCCAAGTGCAAACTCATATGTTTGAGCATATCAAAGGATGGAAGCACTCCTTTAGATATATAGTAAGTACAGCCATCTCTCTGACATAGGAATAATGATACTGTTAGGACAATGTTCTAACGATATGATCTTTGGTTCATGCTTTGATGTTCTTGCAGAAAAAGGTACACCCTGACAAGGTTCCTTTTGAAGAAGAAGCTGTCCATAAAGACCAATCACTAAAGCAGACTATTAAAGACAATGCCATGGAGATTGAGAACACAGAGGGCAGGGGACAGCTCAAGGTAAAAACATAATGCACTATACACATGTACACAACATTTCAAGAAATTCTGCCAATAAACCCATTCTATGAACTTGCTTCTAGGTCATCTTGAAGGAACCAGCTGATGTACCAGCATTCAAGGGTTTCTGTAAGTATTTTGAGGAGAAGTTGATCACTGATCATTACTGATAATTTGTGCATCTTTGTGCATCTAAAAGCACAGCGCTTATACCTAGTTTAGACCTAATGTGGTTCGGTCATAAACTATATAAGCATGAAGTTTTCACCTTTTTCGTTTTCAGCCAAAAATGTATGAGTAGAACTCATGTTCTATCTGTGCTACAGATATCTGGTCTGTAGCACTGTGCAGAGTGTTGTGAAAGTAATCTGCTCAAAATGTGCTTAGCCCGTAGTCTGTATTGAGTGTAAACATTTCTGTTTTTATTCCAGATTCAGTCAATCCTGGGACTGCTCCTACAACATCAGCCAAAACTATGCCATTTGGTAATTCTTTGGTTCTATTGTAGAAAATGAATGCACTGACAAAGAAAAAAAATAGGTATTCTTCTAATCCTATGCCCTTTCCCAGGTCCAAAAACCCCAAGAAGTGGCTATAGAATGGAGGGCTTTGGAGGGTACCCAACAGTAAAGGCCCCTCCTCTTGATTACACTCTGGACCACTTTCATGATGCGGACCATGACCTAATGGGAGATGAATATGGACCTGGTGATTTTGATGGTTACGAACCCTCCAGTGACTATGCTGAGGACTACAGAGATAGACATATGTTGAGGCCCCTACCAAGGCCCCCACAGAGACCACTACCGAGGTCAATGAACCCTCCTGCTTTGCCACCTCCTCGAAGACCTGCTAATCCAAATGGTGGGGACCTCTCCGGAACGCTGCTCACCTACCTGGTAAGTTCATTGCCATTTTTTTCTACTCTGGTGGTAAAAAATATATATTCACATCCTGAAAATATCAAAACTGGATGCTAATTTGAGCAAATATTGATACTGAAAGAATTTTAAAAAGACCTTTCCTGAGCCTTGGCTTTTAATCTCAACTAGTATAAGACCACATGATTTTACATACATTGGTGTTTCCAATCATTGTTGTAGTATTAAAATTGAGTATCAAGTATGAAATAGTTTGAAATGGTATCTTAACTTTTTTTTTTTACACCTCTTTGTAGGATACCTTCAAAATCCAGAGTGAGAGCGATGCCCAGCTGGTGTTAAAGGTGACACAAAAGTTGACAGATGTGCTAATGGAATACAGACTCAGACGTGTCGAGGTATTGCCATTGTTCCTTGCAACTGATTAACAGATAACAATGCTTTTGATTTTAGATTAGCGTCTTTGCCATCTTAACAAGTGTATGGGCTTTGTATTTCACAGGGTCCTCCTGTGCCTTCTGTGTTTCCACCCCCAGGACCCACAATACCAAGTCGCAATGAACAATACACTGGATATCAAGGTATGCAATATTGTGTTTCTGTTTTTTTTCTTAACTTGTGTACAATGAAAAAACTTTGTTTTTTGCAGGTTTGTCCAGGTATACTGATGCTCCATCCCGGTACTACAACTGACAATCTGCAGATGAACATTGCCTCTCCAATTGTGAATTCATTGTTTTTAGGTGTCTTTTGTAGATGTTCAAGTTTCAAACTATTCCAAGATAAAATGCTTACATACATATTTTATGACTTAACATGTTTGAGCTGTTTTATTAAAGAGGAAAGAAATGGCTGAACATGTGCTTATTTTCTTTTAAAAAACGCACTTTGTCTAAACTGGACCTTTTTGAAAATAAAAACAGTTTAGACAGAACACTGACTTTAAAAATACTTAAAATATTGGCAACTTAAATTGCCAACATTAACAGGGGTATATGATGCAAATACTAGCTTAATAATTTAACAAAATACTCTGCATCTGCTTCACACTAATCGGCGTAAGCAGTATTTTGCTTCCCAGGAACTCCCTTCCGTGATGCATTAAAGCCAAGGCAGCATTTGTCTGAGACTGAAACTGAATAACAGCCTCTCCAATGCATATGCCATCACTGTCATGCAACAATGTGATGTCTTCCTCCTTCAGCTTGTTTTCAGTGAAGAGTCCTTTGATTTGACTCCTCTGCACATTTGCAGGCATATTTCTTACATACAGGCATCTCCGTTCGTTTACATCAACTTCATGACTTTGCATGTCTTTATTGTCCATTTTCCCATTTTGATGTGGTTTCCTGGCCTGTGTGTTTTGCTTAGGTTTTCTTTGGGACTTAATCATTTTAGTCATCTCTTCTTTTGTAATTGGTGAGACCTCAATCACACTGGAGCCTACATGACAGCCATTGAGGTTCACTGCATAGTCGTAATCTTCTTCTTTGTCAAACTTTACAAAAACTTTGTCAGTCCGTTGCCCTTCAGAATCCAGCAAATGAAGAACGTTTGAGTGAGCAATATTTGGACATCCAAAAAGTTCTTTTATTTCAGTCTTGACGATACTCACTGGTAGATGACTGACCATGATAATGTACTCTATATTATCACTTTGACAGTTTTTCAATTTTTTGGGTGGTTTTTGCATTGAGTCTGTATTGCGCTTCTTTCTGGGCCACTTGGAAACTTTGGAATAGTTCACGGTATCCTTTAAAGGACCCTGCTCTAATGTTACACCCTCATGATCACCATCTTCATGTTCTTGTAGAGCATTAATCCACATCTTTTCTGTTGCTGTTCGTACCTCCACACACGCAGAACTCTGGTTAAAATTCAGCGCTTCTGTAGCCTCTTGGAAAGTCTCAAACTTCACCATACAACCATGATTTACTCCCAACTTTACATTCACTAAAACTTCCTTTACGCTTAGTCCTTGGAAAAAATTGCATATGTCTTGTTTAGTTGTGGTGCTGGGTAAACCAAACACCCTAATAAAGCCAGGGTTAGGTGGACTATAGAGAGGCGGTTCTGCTGAGGAGTCACATGGGTCGTTTTTTCCCTGAGATGATGCAAGTCCCTGAAGTAAAGTGCAAATGCGAAGAAGAAATGTATTTTTTGAGTCAGGAGTATCCTTGTTTATAGTTTGTTCAGCTCCTGTATCAAGTCGTGTTATATCAGAAGGTGAACCATAATCAGACCGCGGGTTAACCGGTTTATCAGGTACGGGTAATGCGCCATCACTTGAGAAATTACGAGGACTCTTATTTGCCCGATGTTTAGACTTCTTTCTGTTGAGAAATGTGTCCACTTTGTGCTCAAGTTCCACCATGCTACTAATCTGCAAGTCCACCTTTGAGTCCTTGAGGAAATGTCCACTCTGTTGCATTGCAAGTATGCCATCTTCCTCACTGTTAAAAGCAATAAAAGCCTCCCCAAGTGCCCCTCCAGTAATAAACACTCCACCGTCTGGTATATGAATCGCTCCAAAAAAGCCCCGGATATCTTCAGCATTTGCCTTTGTATCCAAACCTCGTAGTTGTAGAATAGTGCTCATTTTACTGATCTGCAAGATTAAAAAAAAAAAGCATGCATACAGTAAGTGCTGGGTGACAGGGCAAGAAAAGCTTGTTTTGTTTTGTTTTTTTCTCATATTGATTATCTCAGTTTAAAATTTTGATAACATAATAACACAGCAGACTGTTAATCACTGTCATTTAACACAAAATTAACTGTCAAATGTATTTCTACCCCAATCTGAATTCCAGATCAAACGCATTTACCCCCCAAAATTTTATATACGATTTTTAGACAAAAAAAATGTCGATCTCAATTAAAATTCGCACTCTCATGCATTATTTAACATGTTATAACGCAGACATACTGACATACTTGGAGCCCCACTCTCGAGCTTTTTATCGAAGGAGGAAGCAGAATTTGACAAAGGCCTGAGTTGTGAAAAAGCTCAAATATAAACAAAAGCTGTAAAAGATTAGCAATATTCTCTAGTTATACGTAAACCAGACTTACTACATGTGTGTTAAAACGTGGAATCATCGACAAAGACCGCTCAAGTTTTGAAGAGAGTGTCTGCAAAAACACCCATGTGCTTCGCCAAACCCTCTTGCTCCGTTCCGCCCGCCGCAGTGTGCGCCTCTCCCGCCAGGAGGAGTTGGTCTGTGTCTCTGTGTATATGGTTTACACGGGCTTTTTACTGCCCTCTAGAGGACTGGGGCACAATAAGCATCGGTCCTGAATAAAAAGAATTACAGGCTTGTTTTGGGTGACCAGATTTTCAAAATAAAAACTGGGACATCCCTGGTTTGGGTTGGTAAATTGTGAAACGAGTGCATAATTAAGGGAAATTCTTATGCACTCAGCACTAATGGGAGTATAGTCACATTTTCGTTGTGTTTTGGTCATTTTTAAGCAGCTTTTCTGTATTTTACCTACACAAATGTCAATATATGCCTCTCTTTACTGTTGGCAGGAATCAGACTGGTCAAAAAATAGGGACTCCTGGGGCAATTCTTGTATAAAACTGGGATAAATCACTGGTTTTGGAAAAATCTGCTGGGACAGGGGGCACTGGGCTCAAAATTGGGACTGTCCCAGGTAAATATGGATGTCAGGTCACTCTAGGCTTGTTCTTTCTCAGGTTAGACTCTAAATATGAATATATGAAAAATATGTTATTCTGGATCACTAATTCTAGAAATAGAGATAAATAGCCTACTGTAGCTTACTGTTGCAAACTAAATACTCAAGCACTGGCCTAAAATTATAATCATCCCTGTTTCTCATGAATACTTTATCAAAAAAGTATATCTATCATATCAGACAGCCTACACTGGCATCACAAAATCACATTTTGTTTAGACATCCCTATTCACCGGTCCCACTTTTGAGTCCTGTGTCCCCTGCCCCATCAGATTTATAAAAAACTAGTGATTTGTCCCAGTTTTATACAAGAAATGTCCCAGGTGTCCCTATTTTTGACCAATTTGATCTAAACTAGGGCTACACAAGGACTAAACTAAAACTGAAACAGGACTATCACACGCAAATTTTTACCAATCTGATCCCTGCCAACAGTAAAGAGGAGCATAAATTGTCATTTGTTTTGCCAAAATACAGAAATGCATGTTTGTGAATGACCATAAAACAAACAAACAAAAAATGCAATGACAGAAGTCCTTCAGATTATGACTGACACAAGAATGCACAATTTTACACACTCTTTTCACATTTTTATTTATACCAACTCTCCCAACCCAGGTGTGTCGCAGTTTAGTTTAATTTTGAAAACCTGGTCAGCCTAACTTTGTTGCCTACTAACATTCAAAAGTCGCAAAAGGGACTTGAAGACCAAGTAGAGGCACAAACGAGATCATTAAATTATGCAATCCTAACACTGATATTTCTACTTACATACTGTTGTACATACAGTCCATGGTTATACATAGTGGCTTCTTGTAAATAAGTGATTAAAGATGACTCAGACATGGACAAATCGCTCCAAATACAACTTTAAGAGGTTAAATGAGAAGGGGGAGCAGCATAAAAGATCTGAAAAGTCTAGAATAAGATAAAATCCTCTCTGCATTTTTTCTTCTGTCAACGAAATTATAACCTGGCTCCTTTAATTTTTCAGATTTATATGTCCAAAATATGTACAGCTTTAGCCACATGTACATGCCAAAGACCGTATTTTTGTATTTTTTTGTACATAATTAAAACAAGACATAGTGAAGAATTTTTAATGTATTTTATATTTGCATTTATTTAGGTAAACTACAGAAGAAATGTCTACTTGATAATATTTTGAAATTATTATTATTATTATTATTAATAGTAGTAGTAGTAGTAGTAGTAGTAGTAGTAGTAGTAGTAGTAGTAGTAGTAGTAGTAGTAGTAGTAGTAGTAGTAGTATATTTATGTGTATATTATATCGCCTGACCAGTGGGGGCAGCAACGTACAACCCGCGCCTCGTCTGCCGTAAAACAAAAGGAAGTAGTCTGTTGTTTACCATGGCGACGGGGACGCTATCATCTTTTTTATCCTCATTTTGTTTCATTTTTATGTTTTTTCATTTTCTTAACATTAACGTGAACGGTCAGCAGTACATTATACCGTTTAAAGAGCCTCAAAACTGCGGCACGGAGGAGTTTTATGATATTTCCAGTCTCTCGTGTGCAAGCTGTGGCTCCAACCAACGCCGCAGTAGCACAGGTTTGTGGATGCTACACTCATGAAGTTAAAAATGCTAAAATGAATATAAGACAAAAACTGTAGATGCCACAGGTGACCGGAACTTCGTTATGTTACAAATCAATACTTGTACATACGTACGAAATATAGACTAAAACAGGTCCAAACCATTTTTATTTATACATTTGATATGAATGTAGCAATTACATTACACTGGACAAACCAAATGTATGCTCCAAATGTAGGAAATGTGCTAATTTACAACATCTTTCCTTAGAGGAGGCTTTGCAGGCAGCTCAAAACCAAACAGAGTGCTAAAAATAGAACCATAGAGTACTCCAATACACCAGGACTAAACATGGACTTATCTGGTATCATGGACCTCAGTATTATTCTGTGCACAGATGATTTTAAACAATGTGACAATAATAATGACAATCTTTCATAGGTCTTTCTTGCGTCTGCAAAGTTGGATATTTTGCTCTTACCACAGAAAAATCATCTGTTTGTGAAAAGTGTCCTACAGATAAACCAGTAAGTGTACCTTTTATGTACTTTATAATATGGCAATGAACCATAAAATGTGTGTATCATTTATTTGAATTCATCTGCGTGTTTTCTTGTGGTGCAGGGTGTAACGAAGGATGGGTTTGGCTGTATTCGCTGTCCGGGTGTTCTAAGTGATGAGGGGTTTTGCACATGTCCAGTGGGGAGTGTCCTTAGTAAGTGCATAATACGTAGTGTAATACATTTGTTTCATGATAATTAAACTTCACATTTCTCTGTTTTGTTTTTTGTTTTGTTTTTTTCAGTTGAGAGAGATCTTAAAGGGAACATTTTAGAGGAAGGCCAGTGTGAGGTGTGTAGTGGCAGCAAACCAGCCTCTTCAGTCCCGAACATCAATGGAGACAGGTAAGAACTATACTTTATGACAACAAGAGTCTACGTTTTATCCATAAAGTACTGAGAAATGTTGATCTATATTGTATTGGGATTGCCTTAATAATTTATGTTGTGGCATCATGTTCTTTTGGCTTCCAACCTTGAAAACTGCCTAACTGAATAATACTTTTATAATGCTCACATTCATGGTTAATATAACTAATACTGGTCAATTTCTTCTTAAAAATATTATGTCAAAAGCTATTATTTTCTGTAATTAATTTTTTTAGGTGCGAGAGATGTCAGGCCTCTTTCGTTGATACCTCTTGTGCATGTGGTTCTCCTGGTATTCTCGTGAGTGTGGCAAAACACTACTTCTACAACTACGACTACTGTGTACAACAACAACTTCTACTATTTTGTTATGCTCAAATATCTTTTTTCCGCAGTCCGGGGGATTATGTTTTCCATCAGGAAGTCTGCCAATCAATGTAAATCCAAGTGTGAACTTTGCTCAATTGGTACGTTTTCCTTTATCTATAGTTCTTCTGTAGTTGCACTGATGAATGCTGGGTGTTGTGTTTTTCATTGAACTCAGGGTAAACTTTATTTTCTTGTGTCTCTTGCAGAAGATTAACGTGCACTCAGCATGGTTTGTCAGAAATCTGTACTCCTCTGCAGCCGCATGCCTGGTAATATGGATATATGTTTCCACTCACTTTCTGTCTATAAAACAACATTTTTAAACGTTTAAAAGCCTATAATTATCTGAGGCATATGATACATTCTTGCTACAAAATGTTTTTTTTTTTTTTACTATCAAATAATAGCAGACAATTCAAATAGCTTCTTGGTTCAGATTCAAAATACACACTTCACCTCTGTATGAAAAAATACAGAGATATCATTCAGGACTTGTCAGGCTTTTGATGAAGGAACTTGGTAAAAACATGGTAGAAAGCTAGTATAAGTTATAACAATATACTATAACTATTTGTGTCTCATTCACATTTGTTTGGTTATTGTTGCAGGTTTTCTCTAACCTGACTGCGTGCCAGGCTCTTGGGAACATGTGTGTGCTGAACATGCACTCTTTCAGCGGCGTGAGCACTGACGCCTGTGGACTTTTCAACACCATCTTCAGATCAAGAGCATCTCTGAGCTCCACACACGACATTTCCTATTGGTAATTATAATTGATGTATAGATGAAGGGGTTGCTGACTAATTTTGTGTCTTTTTGATTTGTAAAACTATTTATGGGTTTCAAGCAATGGCCATCTGTCAACATAACAATTAAGTAATGAATTCTATATATTATATCTTTTTAAACTGTTTAAAATCAGCTAGGAATTATTTGCCTGCATGTCATTTACAATTTTGCAGATCTTAATAACAAAACTTATGATAAGGGAAATGGTGTATATTGCCCACCTGTAGATGCTTTTATAGGAGTTTTTAGAATTTTTTTTTTTAGTATTTGCATTTTACCTTTAACTATAGTATCATTTATTTTTAGGAGAGTCAACTTGCCCTGGCTTTACTATGGAGAAGAGCCGGGACTGGCTGTTAGAGTGCTTCAGACAAATCCAGTGCCTATTGGATTCAGTTTCAGAGGGAAAAATGAAGTAATATGAAGACTGATGACAAAGACTGAACTTAACCTGGTAGCATGTAACTCAGATAAGATCATTTATTTGATCTTTTGTTTGTTTGTTTTACAGTTTACTGCCATTAATCTGGTTGCTGCTGTTTATGATGTGAGAGGAGAGTTTCTTGGATGGGAAAAGATAGGTCCAGGTGATCTACAGGTAATGACCAATTACATTTTTTATTTTATTTATTTATTTGTATTATTCATTTATTTATTTATTTATTTTTATTTATTTACATATAACAACTGATCTGTGGACCTTTCCCTATCTCAGCTTTGTCCAGACACAACTATCAGGCAGGCAGCAGCTTATAATTTTGGGACATCATACCAAGAAAGTGTGAGTATCTCTTCTTTATCAAAATTTGAAATGTTTCACAAGACTTAATAAAAGATTTAACCAACAGAAAGTCAGAAACAGTTATC